TAAAATACAGTAGAAACATTTTGATTCAATCATTTCTGCATTCACTACCTTTGTGTACAATTCACTTGACTTATTATGTATTAATGCAAAATTTAAATGATCAAAATGTTTCTCATCATTTATTCAAAAGAATGTGAAAAACACATGTAGTGTTAAAAGCCTTCACTGAAGTCCTTACCATTATGCTTCCAGCAATGTTTCAACACATCCACTGCCTGATTTAAGTGCTTTGAAAAAGAAAAATCTTGTTTCAACACAAAGCAATAAAAGCTTGCTGCACTATGGCAACAATGTCCGGACTGAACTTACACCAACTAGTTTGAGAGCTTTCAACAATGCCTGCTTTCAGCATGAGGAGTGACAGAGATGATAGGCAGATGGTTCACATCTCGCAGGTACTAAAACATGGAGAGCTGGAGTCACAGTTACCTAGACTGTTCCTCACAACTAAAACATCCTGAAATGCTGTTTCCATGCGCCAGCCTTCAGAAATGCTTATTTCACTGCAGCCTTACAGCTTCAGGACTGCAAAGCTGAAGCAGGTTTAGAAATGTATGTAACAAGAAATGTTCTTGTCATGTAAATTTAATTTTTCCTTATTATTAAATATATATATATTAGAAAAAAATGGTCAAAGGACCTTTGTATAAATTTATTTACACTACCTGTCAAAACTTTGGACAGGTAGTGTACTTGGATCTATCAGTAACACATAATAAACTGTGTTAGGCGATATTTCATTCACATTTTATGGTCCTCAGTTAAATAAATCATGCAGCTGTGTCAGCAGAAGTATGGAAATACATGAAACAGGATCTAGCATCATTTAACCAAATTCACTGTTGTTTTTCATCTGTTACAAAGAATGCATTTCGCTTCCTTCTTTTGGCTCCAGACTGCTGGCTGACTGCTTGAGGATTACAGTGAGGATCATTCAAAACAATGTGACGTTCACTGCATTACTAATGTATAGGGACATACTGCAGGCTAGTCATATACCAAAACAAAAACCTGACAATAAAATTACAATATGAATATGCCAAAAAATGACACAACAAAATAAAATTAAGACTGGAGAAAAGAATACGATAGACACTTAAAAGATCATATTCTTTAT